AGAGAGATCTGGAGGGGCTGGAGCGAGGGCAGAGGAGGGCAACGAGGCTGGGGAAGGGCTGGAGAATCAATCCTGTGAGGAGCCAGGGAAGGAGCTGGGAGTGTTCAGGGTGAGGAGGAGGAGGCTGAGGGGAGCCCTCATCCCTCTCTGCAGCTCCTGACAGGACATTGCAGAGAGGCTGGGGCTGGGCTCTGCTCCCAGGGGATCAGGGACAGGACAAGAGGGAACGGCTGGAAACTGCCCCAGGGGAGGGTCAGGCTGGGCAGGAGGAGAAAATGTTTCCCAGCAAGAGTGGTCCGAGAGTGGAACAGGCTGCCCGGGGAGGGGGGAGTCCCCATCCCTGGGGGGTTTCAGGGCCGTTGGGATGAGCTGTGGGGGATGTGGGGTCGGGGAGAACTTTGCAGAGTCGGGCTGAGGGTTGGACTCGGTGATCCCGAGGGGCTTTTCCAACCGGAGTGGTTCTGGGGTTCTGTGAATTGAAAAATTGAAAACAACAGAAGGTTTTTCTTTTTCTACATCAAAAAAAGTAGTTCTGTAAAGGCAGTATAGATGAGAAGAAAGAAAACACAACACACCGAAACAGCGTTGAATGGGGGTGTGATTTGCAAGGGAAGCAGAGTGTTCTGAACTAATTTTACTGAGGAGAGCATGGTACGTGAAGGGCTTTCAGTGAAACATCCTCCGTGCCACTGCCGAGTGCTGCAGCGTTCTGTGCCTCCGTTCAGCTTGCTTCCTCCAGTTTGCAGTTCTAGCAGATTTCATGTAAACCCAGTCAGTTCCATGTCATTCATTTCGAGGTCGGTCTCTGGCTGAAATACCAGTTTGTTTGGAGTTTTTGTTTCTTTTAAAATTCTGAAGAGGAGAAAATAGAGGATTTTTTTTTTTTAATCGTCTGTATACTGTGGCTGTGTTGTCTGTATGCTTTCAGAAAATTAAGGAGGTACTGAGCTCTTGTGGGAAAGAAGTCTAAGATGAAAAGTTATAAAAGGACAGGCAGTTTCAAAGAGGTCTTCCTAAGGGTAAAATGCAAGCTGTTATAACGTAGGAGAGGGGAAGAAGCAATTAATAACCAAAATACAAATTTTCCACATAAAGCAAGCGGACAGAAAGTTAATTTTATATCAGATTGTTAAAATTAAATTTAAAATTTAAAACACATTTGTACGACGAAGAACAAGACAGAGGATAGAGAATGTAGCAGAAGGCACCAAGGTAGTAAGTGCTGCTGTGTGAGAGGAAGGTCCCAGTCTGGAAAACGTCTTGTCTTATATTCCCTGACATCTAAAATGAAGTAATTATTCTTTTGCTCCAGCCTTTAGATTTTTGTAGATCTCATTGCCAGTGTTGCTTTGCCAGTTTAAAGCAGCACAGTGAAAATAGTAGAGGTTTATCATTCTTTTTGGCCATCTCTGCTGGGGTGTGATCCTCCTGACTGTGAATCGGGAGCGGGAGGTGAAACTGAAACCGTAGAAAACCAGACAGCAGTGGATGTAACTTGTCTTTTAAAAACAAACCAGCCCACCCCAGTTTGTTTTCCCTTCTGCTCGCAGACAGAAAGGCAGCTCTGGAGGCGGTGGTGAAAAGTTTGGGACCTGGCTTTGTAGCAGAGTTCAATAAACATAGGTCACTTCAGGCAGCCGGGCAAGGATCGTCGGGGTCGGGGAAGTCCCCCTCTCATGGACTCCTGAGGAAGGTGCCTGGAAGTACGAAGAAGCCACTGAAAACAACTGTTTCTGCAAAGGCTCCAAGGAAAGACGTGTCTTCTTTGCCTGGGTCAAGTTCTTCATCTCCTGACACTGATGATTTACCCCAAAGCAAAGACATGGAAGAGGACGAGGAAGACGGATCCACAGGAACCAGCGGACTTCGTCCTACTTCTTATAATAGGGTGAGTTTGTTATTGCTGTCCTTTGTGGTTTTAGGGATTGGGTTAGTATCTCATTTCAGGGGGATCACTTGTGGAAAGATGAACCGTCCTGCTGGTTCTGTGCAGTAGATGCTGCCATCTTAATGCAAAGATTTGCTGGCTGCAAGTGTGCCAACTTACCCAGCAAGGGTTCTTTAACAGATGGGAAGAAAACCTCGAGTGCTTTCCAACAGCAGAAGCAATGTGCATTAAAATTGGGTCCTCGTTCTACTGGGCACTTGTTTGGATGCAGTGTGAGCCATGCGCTCTGCTTGGAGGAGCTTCTTGTGTAAATAAAAGTAAAGGGTAGGAGGCAGAAAGTGTTTGTTTTGCCTTGTGAGGCAAGAAGATGAGGCAGAGAAGTTTACTACTGTGCTAGGAAGGATCTTAAGCCAGGGTTGTCTTAGTCCATCACACCAAGATTTTGGTTCTGTTAGGAACAATCACTAAACCAGTTTGTGTTTTAGTTGTGGGACATGCAGTCATCCTTGGGAGTTTCCAGCCTCTAATTGATAAGCAAAGAGAACATGGCCTAGTGCTGTTGAGAGCTAACAGGTATTACTGAAATTAAAGCACTGGAGTTGTGCAGGCTCTCACCCTTCAGCCCAGACAGCTGGAATTGTGTAGATCTATAGTACTTGCTAAAAACAAAAAGATGGTCCTTGTGTGTTACTGGGTAATCTAATAACTGATGTCTTCTAATAACGGAAGACTGAGACAGTTGTAGAACAACAAAAGGGTGGCTCAGTCCTTGTGTTAAACACCTCAAACCACCAGAGTGAACTAAGCAGTCTGTCCACTTTGCAGTCATTTTAACTGCAGATCCTTCCTTCTTCCTTTTACTGCACTTACAAAGTATTTGGTTTTGTTCTCTTTTCCATTTGCAGCTGTTGAGAGAGGAATTGCTGAGCTGTGGGACAGTCCTTCAAATATCAGATTTACCAGACGATGGCTTTTCAGATCAAGATATTAAAAAAATTGTTCAGCCATTTGGCAAAGTTAGCGATCTCATTGTACTTCGCTCTAGAAATGAGGTAGGTTTTCCTGTAGAATGGTTCTGTGTCAGAACGCAAAAAAAAAAAAAAAAGCAATAAAAAAGGGGGGTATTTGGTTCCTCAGCTGAACATCGGATAAGGCTTCCTGAACTGTCACATTCATAGTTTTGGAATAGCTGGAAGTGTTAACTTTAGAAATTGTCTGGCTTGCTACCTAAGTCGTAAATGCTACTGGAAGTAGGATGTCTTCTTGAGAATACTGAAATCCAGACTTTTTCATCAAACCCCATATGAGCTTAGAGAGAGGTGCACGTGCAATTCTGTCGTGAGCAGATTTTCTAAGGGAAGATCGCAGCTAATTGTGTCTCATGTCTGTAATAGACATCAAGCCTGAAAGTGCCGTTTATTTCAGGCTTTCTTGGAAATGAACTATAAAGAAGCAGTGATAGCAGCTGTGAAATACAGTGAAACTGTGCCAGTGCTGGTCAATGGGAAACGGGTGAAAATCAGTGTAGCAGAGAAGCCAAAAGCATCTGCTGGCCAGGTGAGCAGCGTCCTAAGTTGTGTGTAGCATGGTGTATTGTGCCAAAACCTGGGGTACTGCGGGGAAACCGATTTTGTAGTTTGAATAGCTGTTAAAATTTCCTTTTTATAAACAGCAGTCTAAAATAAATATGAAAACACACGCTCCTTAATTCCAGTTTTCCATTTTTATTAATTTTGATATTTGTGAATAGTGTCAGTTTAACAAACAGTGAAAGATAACCCTTATGTTAATATAGAGACACTTAATACTGTTTACGTATGCACGCACGCATTTGTATGTAAAATATAAATTATGCGAGTTGTTCTTTCTGTCCATTTCAGGCCAAAATGACTGTCAAAAAAAGAGCCCAGAATATTAAGAAGGTTTCATCAAGTACAAAGTAAGTGTTGCCATCGCATACGTTAGTGATAACCATTGCAAACCAAACGGCTTCATGTCTGTTTGGTTTCTTGTGGGTTTTTTTGAGCTTTTTTAGCTGTTTTGATATTAATCAGTTGTCTTTGAACCTGATTTTTCTTGCTTTTTTTTTGCTCCTCTTGCTCATAATAGAAAAGATCAGAACACGGCCACTAAGAGAACTAAATCCATTCCAGGTAAGGTTTTGGTTGCCTTTTCTCTGATGCTGCCTCTGTTAGTCCCTTCCTGCTTTGTTCCCATTTCTTTGTTTTTATGTGAGTGCTTTTGCTAGCCACTGAAAGCAGGTTCAGAGCGCTACAAGAAAATGTCAGGTTTATACTTTCAAACGTCTTCCTTTTCGTGCAACCCTTTCTTTTTTTCTTTAAAAAAACCCCAACCCTCAAGTAGCAATAAACCCCCCTGCCTTGACCTGTAATTAGTCTGTAATTGTAAATGTTTGCCCCAACTGTTGAAGGTCAGTGTGGCACTTCGGGCCTGTAAAAGAAGTGTAATTCTTCAAGTTGACTTTAAACCTTATGTATAACATATTTAAGATTTTTTTTTTTACGGTTAGTGCTCGTGCTTCCCAGTGTCTCATGTTCCCTGAATGTTCCAGATGCTTTTAAATTTCTGCCCTGGTTTCCTATTGATCCAGACAAAAATGATTTCAATTACTATTATTAATTGGTCTGTCAGAAACACTTCTCTGTCATACTGGTAGGGAAAATCTTTTAAGTTTTTTTAGTACTTCAATGAAAACAGGACAAACTTCAGTAAACACATCAAAAGCCAACGAAACTACAAATACCTGGTATTATTAAGACCTTGGAATTAATGGCCATTTTGTGTTGCTTGTTTTATTGGCTTTCAGGAGCAACTTTTCTGAATAAAGTTAGGGATTAGACATAGATAGGAAATTATATTGGTCTTGATTCATCTGTCAGCACTCCTGAAACCGGTTTCCAGAAGGGAGTTAAGGTTCGTGCAGCCCTGTGCTCCAGAGCTGTCCCACGGATGGGAACCACCAATTATTTGCTGCCAGCTAGGAAAAAGAGAACACTTTTTTTCAGGAGTAAGGGTTTGTCACCAGAATCTGAAACAAATTCACCAAAGATGCTCTGCTTCGTGGCTTTCATTCAGGAGTTTGATGGAGGGAACTTAGGTTTGGGTTTTTTTTATTGTATCAGTTGAATTGCCGCAGATTAAACTGGTTTTGTATGTGTTTCTGTCCTCTTCACAAATGTAAGACTTAAGAAATAAGCGTTTCTGCTGACTTTGTTGGTTTGGGATATTTTATGTAGGTAAAAAAGAAAGGACTAAGAAATCGGCAATGTCAGGAGATAGTAAAATCAAGAAAACTTCAAAACCGGCGGGTAAGACGAATGAGAACTTTTGACTTGGAAAACACAAGCAGGTGCTTTTCCATCCTCCTACCCCGCCACTTCCCCCCTTTCCAGAAGAGGTTTCAGGCAATGAGTCCAAGCTTTTGCCACCTTCAGCAGGGCTTGCCGTATAACTTGGGTTGTGGGTGCTGTGTGTAGGGCCAGACCGGCAGAGACCCAGGAGGGGGGATGAGTTTGGGCTTTGGGGTGGAAGCTTTTCCTGCTGGGTGTGTTCTTCCCGTTTGCGAGGAGGGGCAGGGGTTTCTGTGATACGAAGCCTCTGAAGATGTGGCAGAAAAATGCGTAGTGCAGCTGGTTCTTTTGCAAACTGATTTTTTTTTTAACGTGTTGAAACAAAGAATGCTTTTTTCTGTTGATATCTACCAGCCAAATCCATAGATGAAGACCTTCAGCTCTCAGCAGAAGCCCAGATGGAGGTTGGGGAATCCAAGCTGTCAGAGCCGAAGGGTGGCACGGAAGGGGCCGGAGCTGCAGAGCCTGTGAAGGCAGCAGAGACTCAGGCCAAAGGAGTGTCTAATCCTGCACCTCTGCTGGGTAATTCTGGTACCATAATGCCCTTTTTAAGTTGCTTTGCTAATTGTAAGTCCTGTGAAGTTTAACATTGTGATGTCTTCTTGAATTCGTTTTTTAGAGAAACTTGCACAGATGCCTCAGGCGGCGGCGTTGGTCTTGGATAAGTTTAATGAAGCTTTAGTTGATCAAGGTAAATGGCAAACTGTGACAGGGTTTTTCTCATTTCTGTCCTAAACCTCTCTGCTGTTGCGAACTGAACGAGAAGGCTTTTGGGGCCAGGAAATGAAGATGACACAGGATATGAGAAAAGAAAATCTATTAGGATAGGTTCACTGACTGAAACATAAAACAAATTCCTTGTGATCACTGAAGTGGCTCAAAACCTCCAAGAATTACATCTTTCAGCAGACATCATTTTTTTTTACCTAGACCTTTTCAGTGCAACGTAGGGACTAATTCTTTTAATCTCACCGCTTTCCATTGCCTGCTAGAGCTGGTTCAGTAGCTGCTCTTTTCCCTGTATTTTAGAACTGATTAATAACAGGCTTTGCTTCAAACACAGCACGTGTCTGTTTTAATTCTCAGTTACTGTGCGTGTGACAGTGGAGACAGGACAAGGTTGTAGCTGCTGAGCCTGTTAGAGGTAGATACAAACATTTTACAGGAGAAGTGATTCTCCTTTGCCTGCACATGCCTGTCCTGGGTGAGTGCTCTTTTCCTGTCTCCTGCTGTCTGTGTTTTTGGAGCCTCTCACTTAACCACTGTGGATTTGTCCCAGGAAAAAAAAAGGAAAAAGATTGTGTGGGCACATACTGTGCACCTGCGCAGTCCCTGTGTGCCCAAAGGAAAGTCTCATGGTGGTGATTATTCAGCTGATAAGGTCCCAATGTCAGCAGAGCATGCGTGTGCTAATCGAGGGATTTTAGTTAATTTTTTATCCCTACTTAAAACTGTTCTTTCTGGAAGCATTTACATAACACTGCAAGTGTCTCACCAATGTCATTTGTCTCCGTAAGTTAAATGAAGGAATATTACTTCATTTTTCACGGTGGCAGTGGTGGTAGAATGAGTGCAAGCAGTTCTGCTGACTACTAAATGAGTCCCTCATTTTTTTTTTTTTTTCTTTTTTTTTTCTTCAGAAGCTACGATAACAACTACAAAGAGCGAAGAATCAACAGAACCTGCTGGCAAGGTCAGTCTAAAGGTGGTTGACTTTGTGGAAGTTGTAAGTACACGCTCGGTGCTATTTCCAGCTGCTGGTGTGCTGTCAGAAAGACTCCATTTTAAATCCCCTGACTGTTAATTTCTCAGGAGAAATAGCGAGGGGTTTATTTTCTCCTCGCTGTTTGAGATTTGTTAGACACCTGCCACGTTACCTTCTGGCTTTTATTTTTCCCTTGGAGTCTCTTAGTTTCTAAGGTTCGTTTAGGTTTAGCTTCCACGTAGACAGAGCCACAATTAAGCAATGACATAATTAGGGAAAAGGGTTACAAAATTGTTTAATATGCTTTGCTACTAAATCCTGAAAAGGTTTAAATGATAATTTGGTTTTGGGGTAATTGCAAGTGTCACAACATGCTTTTAAGCAGGCACCAAAACCGGAGGTTTTAGATAGTGAAAATAAATTCTCCCTTGAGCTAACGGGTCCGTTTTGATTTAGAGTTGAAGAGATTTTTAATCTTTTATAATATTTACTTTTGTTTGATCGCAGGAACCTGATGATGTATGTGTGGTTCTTATTTCAAACTTGCCTGAGAAAGGATATTCTGTCGAGGAAGTTTCCAACCTAGCAAAGCCCTTTGGAGGACTGAGGGATGTACTGATTTTATCATCTCATAAAAAGGTACTTGATTGGTAGTTGGTCGTGTTTCTACCTGGAGAAACAGCAAATGGTTTTTTAACAAATGCAAATGGGATAATGTGGTGCAGAAAGCACTGATGCCAGATGCTTTTGGTAAAATGCCAATTTAAAAAAAAAAATTTTTTTTTTTTTTTGTTTTATTTTAAAAGGCATATCTTGAAATAAATAGGAAATCTGCGGATTCCATGGTTAAATTTTACACCTGCTTTCCAATGTCCCTGGATGGAAATCAGCTCTGCATCAACATGGTGCCTCAGTATAAGACTGTAAAAGATGAAGTAAGTCATAAAAGCTGCTGAAATTCTAGGGCTCGTGGTAACATTTCAGCGCAGAGCAGGATTTTGTGTTTAAGCTGATTTTGTACACTGCCACTTAGAGCCAGTCTGATGGTGTGTCCTGTTAAATGTCTTTTGGGGTCCTGGTCCTGAGAATAACCCAGATGTCAGAAGTCTGATGCTGTTGATTTTATTAAGAAAGCAGAAACTGAAAAGTTGTGGGGAGTCAGCGAGTGCCTATGAGCTGCTGGTAGTGAAGCTGTATTTTACAGTTCAAATCTTATAATGCTTTTTTTTTTTCTTTTTTTTTCTCTCAAGGAAGCAATATTTACTGGTATAATTAAAGATTCTGACCCTAAGGTAAGTTATTAACGGTCTAACTTCTCTGTATGCTATCAAAATATGTTACTTGAAATTGGACTAGTGTCCTTCATGCTGAAATATTAGCTAATTGAACTGCTCTCTGGGCTTCCTCTAGAATTAAATGTTTATATGTGTTTTCATGGGCGAAGGAGCAGGGAATGGAATGAGTAAATGTTCGCTTAGTTTAGCTCCATGATGCGTGAAGTGCAAGGAATTAAACATTTAATAGTTGAGTCCTTTGAGACCCTCTCCTCCTGTTACATTATTTTCATCTTCTAACAACAAGCTGCTGACTGCTGTAGCGCGGAGAGTCTGCCGTGTTTGCCTGTATGTAGTGCCACCCGTTTTCCCAGATATTTTATATTTTATAGACAGATATTTTAGTTTAATTATCAAAACGACTTCTATGCTTTGTCCAGCGTAGTGTGTCTGCCTGCTTGTCCCTCCCTTTCGTCCACGGCCCGTGGTGCAAGTTGGCAGTTGTACAGAGCATTTTTAGACAGTGTAGGTGGGTAGAGGTTAATGAAATGACAGCTTTCAGGTTTTCTGTGAAAAACATTTTCAGGATATTCCTGATGGAGGGTCAGTTGCTGGGTCTGAACGTGTGTCTCTGGGCTTAAACAGCTGGCACAGGAACTTCTCAAGAGTGACTTTAAGCCCCGACTTGGGTGTCAGAAGCTAATTGAATTGGGTTAAAAAGCATATTGCAAAGAGCCTCCAACCATGAATCGCTTTCCAAGAGCCCCCCAAAGGCTTGAATTTTCAATTGCAAATGCCTCTGGGGGAGATCTGCTTTCTCCTTACGATCCGTGTTTGGCACGGACAGAAACATCTGAGTGTACTTAGTGCCAGCGCCCTGCTGCCGCGTCCTACTCCTGCTTCTGAGCTGCTGCTGGGGAAATATTTCTTTTCTGCTCCTGGTAAAGTGGTGAATAATGGAAGAAAAACATACCAGACCCGGAGAGGGGGGCAAAAATCATCTTGCTCCTTGGGAGTGACTGTTGTGTTTCTAAAGACACACAGCTTTGGAGTATTTGAAGACAAGATTCTTTAAGGTTTTGAAACTCTACTGGCACCTTTGGACTTTGTGTCCTGGCATGACAAGAAATTATGTTTGCCCAAGGATTTTTATGTTATTGCAAACTGATCAAGCAAAACAAACTCCCAACTTAAAAAGCAGGACTGGAGCCTTTTGGATAGGTTTCTACGCCTTGAACAGTTCATAATCTCATTAGACAGTGTCTGCTTATCAAAATACCAGATTTTATTTAAACTTCAGCTGTGCTTTGCAGCATTCCTTAAAAAAACTTTTACTTGTTAACCCCCCTCCACTTCTACTAGTTAAAAACCAGGATTGGAGCCTTTTGGATAGGTTTCTACCCCTTGACCAGTTTATAATCTGATTAGACAGTGTCTGCTTATCGAAATATCAGATTTTATTTAAACTTCAGCTATATTTTTGTGGTGTTCCTTAATAAAACTTTTACTAGTTTAAAAAAAAAAAAAAAAGAAGAGATAATTTAAAATAAAACACTTAACTGTATCCTTTTGTTATTCTTTACTGGGAAATATAGTTGGTTCTTGTGATACTCTGCATAGAAAATTAGAAATCTGATGTGAATCTGCAAATGTGAACGTCAGATGTATGTGAATGCTCTTTGTTGGCAAGACCTGAGCAATATAGCAGCTTTCTGTGGGGCTTTTCTAACCTGGTTCATTAGTTGCTGATAAAGTGTGTTACACAGTTAAAGCAAGTTTTGTCATCGATTTTCTGTAGGTAAATACTGAAACTATTCACAGTCAGTTTGTGCATCTCGGGAACTTGCCAGATGATGGATACAGAGAACTCGAAGCAGTTTGTGTGGGACTTCGATTTGGAAAAGTAGATCATTATGTTGTACTGAAGAATAAAAACAAGGTAAGTATTTTTTTTTTTTATATGGTGCAAAGTACAATATTAGGAAGCAAAAAAAAAAAAAAAGGTAGGTGTTCCATCTTCCAGTACCAAGAATGAGCGATCAAAGTTTCTGACTCTTTCTTAATTATCCCGAACAGGAAAATAGTTTATTTTATTTGTTGAGGTCACTGGGGAAGTAAAAAAAACATCCAGTCAAAACAAACTTTGGGCTTTTATCTAGGCTGAAGTATACAAAACCAGTTTGGTAGGCTCTGAAAGTAAAGCTTCCCAGTGGCTGGAAAAGTTATTAACCTTTGCCATCACTGTTGTAAGTGGAGGGAGAACGAGTTCCCATCTTGTAGGAAGCTGGGGGGAAAAAAAAATTGATGAGAAGTGAAAATGTCAGAAGGGCTGTAACTGCTTTTTGTTTTGGGACAGTTCAGAATGTAGTGACTTGATTTTCAGTTTTCTAAAATGTTGTTCTTTTAAATTTTAGTGTTGCGATTTTTACACTTAATCATGGATTTTTATGGACTGGATTTAATTTACTCTATGTGTATATGTATTTTAACAATTAAAAAGCAATTGTGTTCTCATTGTTCTGAGCTATTTTAAGTGTCCGTCTGGTGATAAACCACAAAACAGGTGAAGATGCTTGTAAGAAGATAGGTGATAGTATTTTTCTTTTTTGAAACTGAAACTGCTTTTTAAAATTTTTTCAAATGTAATAAAGAGAACTTTGCAGTCAGTAAAACATCTAGGGCCAGTTTCTAGACCTTCAACTAATTTTGTTGACTTGAACATCAAATGTTTTAATTCCACTGAGTTGAATGTGAATGCACTTTGTGGTGGAAAGCTGCTCCATCAGATACTTCCTGGTCTGTTTTCAATAGCCAGAGTTGTAGCAAAGATCTTGGAAAGGCAGAGGTGTTTTTTTAAGGAAAAAGAAAAAAAAGGGAGGTGACTTAGCTAAAACATGCTTTAAAATGTAGAAAAGGAAAGAAGAGAGAGAGGAGTAATGTCGTTAATAGCAGCTTTAGAATGCAGCTAGAGCAGCTGGAAGATTTTAAAAGTGACTTAAAACTCGTGTTATTTTTCTTGATAGCTGAAAGGTAAAGTGAGAGATTCCTAGTGGAGAGACGAAGGTTTGTGTTAGGCCATTCTGCTGTTTCCCTGATTGAGGTAATCTTGCAGTTCGTGTCGTGGGCAGGCGCTTTGCCTCGCCCTCACGGGAAGGCTCGGGTGAGCTCCAGCACCGCCGAAGCTGGATGTGTCCAGAAACCCCAAAGTTGGACACACGTGGGGAGGGAAGCTCCAGGCTCCACTGTTTTGTGATACTGTTATTTAGTTAGTTCTAAAGATAATTCCAAACGGGAGAGATTGCTTTCTTCAGCCTCTCAGAGAAAAGAGAGGCCACTGGTCTCTGTATCCAGACCACAGGATTTAATCAAAAAATGCTGCTTATAGCTAATTCAGCATGAAGATGTTGGCACCTTTCAGGAACACAAGCTGTCACATGCTCTGCCAACTTGATTTATTAAACTTGCTCTGCAATACAGAAATATTTTGGGTGTTCTCGGCCAGGATGCTGGTGATCAGAGGTTTTGTTCACAGAACCCCAGAATCCCGGAGGTTGGAAAAGCCCTCGCAGCTCTTCCAGCCCCACCATGAGCCTCCCCCTGACCATTCCCAACTCCCCCAGATCCCTCAGCGCTGGCTCAGCCCGACTCTTCAACCCCTCCAGGGATCCCGGGGACTCCCCCCTGCCCTGGGCAGCCCGTTCCAACGCCCAACAGCCCCTTCTGCACAGAAATCCTTCCTCAGAGCCAGTCTAAAAAAAGATAAAAGGAGGAAAATAAGATGACAGAACAGTTATTTGAAGCTTATGCTTTTTTCTTTTCTTCCTTTCAGGCCATCCTGCAGCTGGACAGTGCCAAGTCTGCGCGCTCCATGTACAGCTTCCTGAAGCAGTACCCGTACAACATGGGTGAGCATACCTTGACCTGTACGTTGTCACCCCACGGAGACTCTGCCGAGGTAAGATTTCTTCTTTGCAATGACACGTTGTTTGTGTGGAACAGCAGCACCTTTCCCTGAAGAGCAGCTCACGGTGGCAGTGTCAGTATTTCCTCCAGTATTCCCTGTGCCTGCGGGTGAGAGTGAAAACTGCAGCAGCTGGGAACTGGATCAGCTCGTCTCTGTTCTGGGATGTGGCACGGGTGGGAAAGTGTGTGTTGCTGTTTTGTCTTTTGTCTCTCTGTATTTTGTAAATACATATGGAATCTCCACCGATAAAAGTATTTCTTAATGAAGGATGAAGAGAAGAAGAGGGAAGGCAGCTGTTTAGTACTGGTTAGAAAAGGAGTGATAATTGAAATTAGTAAAGTTTTTTTCCTGATCTAGTTTGGCTCATCCTGAGCAGTTCATCTGCTTTAGTCCTCTGGATTCTGGGCCCCGGTGCTGTGTCAGCGTTGGTCTGTGTGCCCACAGCTGCTTCCATCTCCTCTCAGAGATGAAACAACTCCCACCACGAGCAGCTCCCACTTGTCTTCTGGTGGTTTGCTGAGGGAACAGCAACCTGCAGCAGCTGAGCGCCGGCGAGGAGGGAGCTTACGGCATGTTGCATGGGATAATAAAGAGCTTGATGAAAGAAATGCAAACACTAGCCACGTGCTAATAGCCTTCTGGCTCCCAGGGTGGAGAACGTAAATCCAGACGTGGTCCCTCTCACAGTGTGGAGGGAAACTGCCATTTACTCCACGCTTGAGCGTGAGGGGTTTTTTATTTCCCTTGTTCTGCATGCCCTGTCTTCTCGTTTTTCAACTCCTTTTTCATGTCCTGACCCAACAAAATAATCGCTTGTCTGGTGATTGACTCTCCATCTCTTGCCAAATGTTCCAAACTATGTTTATTTTGGGGGAATAGAGGTTGGCTTTTATTCCTCTGAACTCCAGCTAGATTTGTTCTCCAAACTTCATACATAACTGGGAGAACAGGGACCAACTCACCAGTTCAGCAGGAACTGTAGACTGTCAAGATTGAGACCAAAATGTCTATAGGTATTGTTTCTTTTGGTGTTTTTTTTTAAATTTTATTTTTAATTTTTCCCACTGGTTATCTATGTGAGTTCCATTCTTGGAGCTCTCATCCCCTGTGTGGTGTTGTCCCTTTTCAGAGGCAGGACTTTGGGATACCACTCAAGATGTGCAGGGCCTTGTAGGTTTTTTCCCTTCACTTTTATTCAGCACAAGAGAAAGTGCTTAATGATAACAAGGGCATTGGTCTGTTACTTCAACAGGGAGGAAAAAAAAATAAGTCATCCAGCTGTGGACTTGCTGAGCTGACACAGCTGTCAGTATTTGCACTGAGCACTGGATGGAATTTCAGGGTTATTTTAAAGAAGAGGTTGTGTACTGATCATTGGCTTTATATCCTGGTCTGTTTTCTGTTGTCTTGGCAATTTCTTCTGCTTTATTGAGAAGCACCCTCATCTGTGACGTCTGTGGGGTGGCTGTACGGTGTGTTTAGGATTCACGTTTTAAGGACAGCAGAGGTTTAGGTGTAGGCTTTTGGTGGGGCTCCCCTGGAGCAGTTGCTGGGTTGCCTCTGTGACGGTTTAGGACCCACGGCCATACACACCAGCTGTGATCTGGGCACCGGGTGTGTTTTTGGAGTGGATTCGTCGTGCCCCTTTCCCAGTAAACCAGCTGCTGCTGTGCACACAGAGCCTGGCCTCTGGCTTCTCCCTTCTGCTGCTGGCAAGAGCCGGGGTTAGATGTTCCAAGAGTTTTCCCCTCTCTCCTCTTCCCCACTGCGGGGATGATTCTCCCCATCACTGACGCTTTGTATGGGACAAAATATGCTCTTCTCCCCAGCCACTTCACTTTGTATTTCAGTTCACTTAGTGAACTTCAGCTTATTTTAAAGAACATAAATGATAATTGTTAGATGATGTCAGATACATTTAAAAGTAATAGCGTTTATTAGACATAATTTTATAGCTGAAGAAAAGAAGGAAATCTTCAGGCTTAGGAGCTTTTTCTCCATTTTAAAGAACATAAATTATAATTGTGCTAGATGATGTCCGATACATTTAAGAGTAATATATTTTATTTATGATTGTGTTAGATGATGTCAGATACATTTCAGAGTAATACTTTTTATTAAACTAATTTTGTAGCTGAAAAAAACAAGTCAGTCTTTAGGCTTACGAGCTTTTTCTCAAGTCTAGAAAACATAAGTAATAAGGTCCCTCGGCACTGAAAACCAAGCAAAATATCATTCATTAACGTGCTCATGCTAAGGAATGGCTGTCAGGGATGCACTGCGGGACTTCTGTGATTCAAATCTCCTTTTTATAGCTGATCCCTGTATCTCGCGTTGCAAGAGAATAACGTGCCTTTGTCACTGCGTTTCGTCAGAGGGGAGTTCAGTGCCAACAAAGAATGGCATTCACACTCTGTTTTCAAAATACTGTTCCTTCCCAGCTGCCCACTTCGGGCAGTACAGAGTGCTTGTCTGATTTAGAGGTTGCCCAGCCAGATGTGGTGCCAGGGCACAGTAACAGCAGTAATGTAAGTGCTCGCTTCATCCCATGAAAGTTTTGCTTCTCTAATTTAGCTGAAAACATCTGAATGCTGCTGAAATAACAGAAGTGGGGGGAAGCTCCCCTGCCTGTGCGACTGGGGCGCAGGGTGGCCGAGCCGGGCTGTGGCGGGGGCCATTCTGGTCTTTGTTGCAGCATCTGTGCTTTTGTGCTTTGGAGATACACTCCTAAGCTTTATTTTTATCTGTAGCTGAGGTGGAGAGAAAAAGGCCTGGTCACACCGATAAGAAGAGAAAACTGATTTTTTATTCCATCTGTTGTTTTTCACTGCGTTTTGAATCTGTTCCCTCTCGTCCATCTTCTGGCTGGTGTTGCCAGAGTCTGGATGACACGCCTGGGTACCGTCAGCACGTTAAACTTGTAACTCTGTTGACCATAAACTATTTTCTCTAGAAGCTTTTCAATCAGAAGCTAGTCTGAAGGAAAACCAGAATCATTTAAAATTCATTATAACATGTTCAATTTGGCACTTAGCTCTGGAATAAATGTTCTTAGAAAGGGAGAAGTGAAGGCTTTGGAGTTATGTGCATAAATAAAAGATTAAAGTGAATTCTACGTGCGCTGAATTTATCTGATGTTCTTTCTGATAGTCTAGTCTTCAAATTAGTTTGTGGAACACCTTCAGAAAAGAGGTTGAGATTTCAACACTGAGTTTTTAAAGCTTTTTGTTTCTTTCCTTGGACCTATGCTGCTAACTGCAGAGCTCGGCTGGTTTGGGGTTGTCTTTTTTTTCAGAAGACTTCATTTCATTTAACATTCATTCCATGAGTTTATTTTATGTAAAGTAGAACACGTCGTCATCCTGCAAGAAACAAATGCAGATTTTAAGGAAGAGAAACCGGCCCTGGGTTTTCTGCAGATACTCGCTCGACGTGGAATGTGATTTGTCTTTAGGAAAGGTGTGCGGCTTTTTTCTGTAAAATACTGTCACGCTGACTGCGTTCGCCCCGAGCTCTGCAGCCGTCGCTAGTACAGGAAAGAAGTTGCTGTCTGGGAAAAGATGTGTTTAACGTCCCTCTCCCCCAAATATATCACAGCCTAAAAGCTAATTCTGCTCAAAAACCTGACAGCTTTGAAGATGAGGTGAACAAAACAGCGGTGTGCCACGTGTTCTGTCTAGTAACTTCTAGTAAAATCTCGTACGCTGCCACACGCTTTTGTTTGTCACCTTATGAAATACGTGTTCCGTGGGGAACGGGTTTTGAACAAACAGTTTGAGAATAGTTTACTGTCGTTTGGTCTTTCTGGTGATAACGTGCCTCAGTTTGGGTCCGTGGTGGTGTTAATGAGCTGAGCGATGCAAATTCGGGGCTGATGCTTCTGAAAGCCGTCAATACTGAACCCTGACTTTTACATTTCAGGCTGAAGTTGTGAAAAAAGAAGTGAAGAAAGAGGAACCGAGCAAAGGAAGGTATGCTTTTTGTGTATTTAAGGGGTTTTTTAATATGTTTCTTGTTGACGGAATGCCTATCCAAGATGGAGCAGGTTGCTGAGCCACCTCTCTAAGGCAGCCTCATGGCAGGGCCGCTGGGAGATCCATCAGCTTTACCCTGTTACTCTCTCAGGCTTCTGTGTGTTCTGTGTGTGCAGGACCTGTAGTGGATTGCTGTAATGTGGGTGATTTCTTTGAAATCTGGGATTTTCACAGAACGTGGTCAAAGGGGGTAAATAAAATCCCGTTTTCTGTGTAGCTCGTTGAGTTATTGTTTGACTAATTTGGCCAGGATTTTACCACAGGTCCTGGAAAGTATGTTTGGATTTACATGTTGGTAAGACAGTTTTTGGTTGTATTTAACCAGGAAGCGAACGCTTTATTTCGTCCTGCAGCGCTTTCCTCTGTCAGAGCACCTGGCTCTATTGTTTCTGTTTCCAAATGCTAAAAATAAACTGAAACTTCCTTGTTTAACTTATTAACATTAACTTCATGCTGTAATACAGGTCCCTGAATCGATTTGCAAAAAAATGTTTAGGTGCTATATTAACATCAGAACCTAGAAGTGGTGGTTTTGGTATGTTCCGTTTAAAATTGTTTTACAGACATGGCTTGTAGTGAAATTTCTAATTGTGGAGTGACTATTTGTTGGTTTTAGAGTCTTGATTATGTTTTTTTTTTTTTTTATAAATGGATAGATCATTCTAAGAGTTCTTGTTAACAAATACAACTTAAAACACCTTCTGTGATTCAAATCCATATTTCTGGATAAGTTTTATCATTAAAAACAAAACCAAACCCAAACCAAAACTGTGTAATAATGGTCCTAAATTTCAATTACAGGGAATGCCATTATACTATTACGGACTGTTCCTATATTTCCAAAACTCGTTTCTTTCAAAAGTAAAATGAGGCTCTCCTGATTTCATGAGACATCTGCTCAGACCCCAGTCGGTTCTGGAAGCGTTTCGGCTCTCGGCTCTCTGGGCCCCACACGCAGGCAGACACGCAGTGACCTTCATGCCCCCACACTGGTGGGCTGCAGCTACCGGTGGTCGTTGTCACTTGTCACAACAAGTGACTCCTCCGTGAATCCCATCTCCTGCCCAGTATCCTGCTGGGGCTGGTGAACAGATTGGAAAAGTGACGTTTTGCCCTACAAGTACCACTACACACATTCTCCTTGTCTGAGGCAACTGTCGTCTTCTTGTAAGCCTGCGTGACTTGACTGATTTTTTTTTTTTTTTAAATTTTTAGTTCCATTTAATAAGAAGCAGAAATTATCAGAAATATTATTATATATATTGAAGACCTTGTCACATGTTTCTGGGGAGGGAAGGAGCAGCAAAATTTGGGGAGCAGAAGGGGTTGGATGGATGAGGAGATGATCTTGAAAAGCCCTTGGCACGCCCCGGGAGCTCGCTGCTTGCGCAGCCCGAGGAGGTCGCTCATCTGACCCTTTTGTTGGGATTTGTTTTCCTCAGCTAAAATAGCTGAAACTTTTCTAGGCCGGGTTAAGCTGCAGGGACCGTCCCGCTGCCCTCTGAACCCCGAGCTGCCCCGTAGGAAGCAGGTTGTGTCTCTGCTGGGCCGTGGGCTCTGTGCTGGCCTCTCCAGGGCTGAACTCCCCACTCAGGCAGTTGATGCAGGGACGTCCTGCGCAGAAACCGAGCCCCAGGTAGTGTTGGTTTCACCCTGTACCCTAACTCCTGTGCAGGAAATCTGGCAGGACTACGTGCTCGCTCTTTCCCAGTGCCTAACGGGTCTTTTAAATATTATTTCAAGCCTCTCAGTGCTTCCTCAGCCTCATCGTTATCTCTGCACATTGCTGCCTCTGCAGAGCTCTCCTTCTGCTGTTTGCAGCCTGGTTTCAATCCATCAGTGTTTTTTGGAGACTGTGAGAGCTTTGTGGAAAGCACAGGGTGGGTGTTGGCATGACAGGAGACATTAAAGTCCCGAAAATTCAGAGACGGTTCACTGGAATTGCGCAGAGGATAACACACGTGTGCTACGCACTCTGTAATTAGCGTATGGTTCTAGTGTTCAGGGACGTTTTCTGTTCCCTCCCAAAAAAGTATAAACAGAGGCTGTGGGGTATGATTTAGCAAGGTGTTGGAACTTGTATTTATTTAAGCTTTCCACATGTCAGTGCCAAACCCAGCCTTTCAGAGCCGCGCTTCTGGCCGTTGTGCTCTGACTCAGCCAGGGAGGGTTTTGCCATGCAGGGCCCGTCGGGTGTAAATCTCAGTGGATGCTCAAATAGAAGAGAAAATTAACTGAAAATGTTCTGGCTTCTGGAACATGAACAACGTTTGGTTGATGTCAGAACACCACCTGTGTTGTGACTGAGTAAACCGTGATGGAAAAAGCAGCCCAGGCCTGACAGCGTGGCTGCTCGTGGGGGCACGCTCAGCCCAAAACATTTTCAGGTAACAAATTTAAATGGATTACAGGTTTAAGAAGCCTCATAGAGACGAGCAGGGTGTTGGGACAGGCGAAGCTGCTTTTCTTTCATAAGGCTTCAGCTACTGGGAGCTGAGCCGCTCGGGCTCTGATGGAGACTTCCCGCATTTTTGCTGGGAGCGGGACGCTGCTTTGCTGGGGGGGCCGGGGGGAGTCCCTCACGGCGTCCCTCTGGCCCTCAGTCAGGGCCTGGTACACCTACACCCATTTTAAATCAATGTTGGGAACAGTATTGAAGCAGAATTCATGGCCTTTCTTCTGTCCTCTCACGTTTGTAGCGGCAGAGGACGGTGCCCTCAGGTCTGGAGGAAACCTTTGAGATGGGTGTTTTTGTTGTGCTTGCCTTAGCAAGTTGATGAGTTTGCCTGTTCTCATCTTTCTGTTGACTCCATGTATTGTGTCTTCGTCTCGTTAACCCTCGCATCTGGCCACTTCAAGACTTAACGTTTTTGTCAGCGCTGAGTTCCATTTGATCTGGCCTTCCCATTTCCTCGCTGTCATCGTGCTGGGAGTGTTCCCCAAAGGGCAGGCTTCTCTGCTCTTTTTTATTTTCACAGGGGTTTATACAAACGTGCACCCTTTATTCATACACTGGCCCTGAGAAACCGTAGCTCAGGCTGCTCCACTGTGCATAACCCCCGAGGAATGATGTGTGTTTGCTGCTTTTGTGTTTGTTCCGATGCTTAGCGAGGCCGGCAGTGTGGGTATTCCGGCACCTCTCCATCTAGAGATGCATGAGGTGGTGGGACGCTCGTTTCCTCGAGCTTGGTGGGAAAAGGGGCACAGACATCTCTAATTTCAGTGGCTCCCAAGATCATCTACGGAGGATTCTTTCTTTCAGAGAAGAATAATGCAATTACTGTAACTGAAGTTCTCTGAAAAGCGTTATCCTCTGCATTGTCATCTTGGGCTTTATTATCCGGGGAGCTGACAGTGGGATTATACTGTGAAAACAGAGCCTGGCCCAAAGGAGCCTCTGGGCACGTATTGTGTTCCCCGCTAAAGTGCAGTTTAAAACCAAAGCGACCCCTCCCTCCCCCCAAACTTGAACCCCTCCCCAAAAAAAAAGCGCAAACTTCAGACTTGTAGCTACTGGAAGAGGCCTCTAGGTTGGTGACTGCAGAGTCTGCTGTCTTCAAACATAGCAAAACTCTGGTAAATCCTTTCTAGAGGGAGACTGAAGCTTTATTTTCACTGCGTTTGCGCTTTCACAGTCTGCCTTGCATCAGAGCTTCTAAATTGCAGGAGTTTGTGTCAGCGCTGAGGCCGCATCTGTAGCGAGTGCTACCTTGAGAGGTCTGACTACAAGTAATGTAATTCGAAGTGTGAGAGGCTTGCGGTGCTGAGGTGGATTAAACAGAAGCATAAAACTAATCACCTGTTCGCCTCAATATTTTTAACCATTTTAACCCTGATAGGCTAGATTTCCATTTCCAAATGCTAAGCACTAATGCGTCAGGAAAGCCCCCACCATTGGCGTCAAGAGGTTTCTGGTAACTGTAGAATTCTCAACATAGTTTGATTTCTTCTGTTTTTTTTAAATGCATTTAGCTCTGGCTTGAAAAAATATCCAGAGGGATCAGGAGTGGTGCAAACAGCAGCTGCTAATCCTCCAGTAGAGCCTAGTGTGGCAAAGAAAGAACCCCTTTCCATCTCTCATGTCAAAGACGAGATGTCAGCAGGACAGATAGAGCCCTCTGAGTCCCACCTGGAAAGAGCAGTAAGGGAGTCTGCTGCGAGACTGGCAGAAACGTCTGCGGAGAAGGCGGACGCTGGAGTTGAAGTTACTGTGGCACCTCTCAAATCTGCTGAGAGCGAATCGTCTGGGGCGAAGTCAGAAGAGCCGCCGCCTTCCCGCGTGGAGAAGGAAGAGGCGGTTAGAGAGAATCCCAAGTCAGCGTTGTTTGAATCTGCTGTTGTATCTGCTCCAGAGAAGGAAATTAAAGAGAAAGAGTTGTCTGCTCCTGCCGTTGAGCCTCCAGAAGAAGTGCCCGAGGTGGGCAGGGCACAGGCTGGGCCGTCAGGGCGTGCCGAGGAGCCGGCAGCGGGCGATGCGGCGGGGCCCGTCCCCGCAGCGGGGCCTGTCCCCGAAGCTGTGCCCCCTGGTTCTGCTGCAGCTTCAGTGGAGATGGCGTCACCTGCTCTCACACAACCAACCAACCCCGTGGATGCTCCTGAAAAAAATCCCGTTTCTGATGCTGTGAAAACCAACCGTGAAATGCCCGTAACGCAGATAACGGAGAAGAAACCTGTCCTTAAAACTGGGGCGGCCCTGGAGAAGAACGTGGATGACCCAGAGCTGAAACCAGAAGAGTCTGCACTCAGTGTTGGAAGAGCTGCGGAAGAGAACCCTGAAAAGTTTCTGGTCAAGACTGGGGCAGAGACAGAAGAGAAGCTTGAAAAATCTGCGGCCAGCGTTGAGGCTGCTGTGGAAAACGCTGCAAATACTGTCAGTGAGAACAACGAGGGAGGTTTAATCAAAGCCCATCTAAACAAAGGAACAGGACCAGCAGAAACCGATGAGACCTGCAAAGCAGATACGTTAAGCTCCTCTTTATCTGTCAAGGAATCTTCCTCTGTTGGTAAAACAATTTTAAAGGCAGTGGTGTCTCTTCCAGATATCTCAAAGTCAAGGGTTCCAGTACAGAGAAATGAGCCTTCCCTGTGTAAAGGAGGGGAGCAAAAAGCTCCTGAGACCCAAGGCCAAGCGTCAGCGGAGAAGAAAATGACACCAAAAGAAGCGGCTCATCCGAGAGCTGGTAGCGGCCGATCGAGCCTGGGAGATGGCGGCGACAAATGTAAAGTGAGCAGAAGTGCTGTGGTTGATGGAAAGGGAGGCAATGGGAGGAATTCATCTCCGCAAGAGAAGGACTCGCGAGTGGAATCTAGGGCTAGTTCAAAACAGTCTCAAGAGGGAGAGAGTAGATCATCCAGCACGAAGAGAGACAACAGCAGCAATAAGGTGAGGAGGGCAGGAAGGCTGGTTCAGTGTGCCTGATCAGTAACTAACTCCATGCTTCTCTCAGATGTTGAGTATAGGACGATGAGATTATGTTCCCCTTCCCTTTTCAATAAATCAGCTGGTCTGGGCCAGCAGACAAGTTGGAATAGCGAGATGCGGGCAACCAGTTGCTTTTTAGATGCAGTGTGTGCAACGCAAGTACGTAACTGGTTCGAAAATGCTGCTTGGAAAAAGTTGCAGGAAGGTATTTTTGAAGCAAGTCTTTACCGAGTGTCATAACTTTACGTTCTTGGATTAGTTCTGAATGGGAATTAATAAGCTTTCTGTCCTTTTGTGAGTTGATATTTGCACTGTCAAGGCCTGCACAGACACTGGTTACTGAAAAGAGGCTACTAAGCAAGGTATTACCTGTGACTTGTTACTAGAGACTCTATGCCTGGACTCTACCCACTGACGGTTGGCTTAGTTCTGTATTTACCAAGCATGTGATCAGAAGCAGCAATCTGGACAACTTTAAAAAAAAAAAAAAGTTCATTAAGGGCAAAAATAGTGGTGTTTTTTTATTATTTTTTTCTCTTGCGAACAGGTTAGTTGGCTTAACTGATTTCATGTGAACTTTTGTCTAATTTTGCAGGCTTCTGCCGGTGGCAACGCTAAGACTTCAAAAAGTGGCACTAGCAGCAGCGCCAAACAGAAGGAGGTAAGGATGGAACTGTAAACGAACTTAAAGTAGATTGTCTTGAACATGTGTGTCTGGGTGCTACGAATCTTCAGCGCCCCGCCCGAGGAGATTTTTTGTGCTATTAGTCGTTACAGACTCTGGGCATAAAGCTGGAGAAAGTCAAGTTGGAAGAGAAACTTAATTCAAGGAGTGTTAAGAAGATGGTTTGTTCTCTCGGATATCACTTGTGTGAGTTGATTGATTGGATCCCCAGCTGCCTGCCTGAGCTCTTTATTAGTCGTCGGGCTTGTGAGAGGAGGAAGGGAGGCTGAAGTCTTGTGGCTCTGATTTTGTACAGCAGGAGGTGGTCAGAGCTTCCCCATCCCGTGGAAGGTGTTTCCAGGGGTCGTCCCGTGGAGCATGGATTGCAGTGAGGTTTTTTGGTGCAGTGTTGGTTGGAAGGAGAGCTTGGGAGCCGCTTCACTGCTCTGTCGGCGTTTTTACAGGAAAGTGAAAAGAGATACCCTCTCTCTCCTAGGTAGCTTGGGCTTTTGGAAAGAAAAGCAGAAAGAAGGTAATAAAACCCCATATTGATAAGTTTGTAGAAGTAGTGTTACGGGATCAAATCAGAGATCTACCAGGGGGAGTAGTGGGTCCCTACGGAAAAGGGATTTCTGCGATAAAGACCTGGATCCTTTTATTAATCTTCATCCCCACAAACTCCTCACATCCCCAGCACGGTCTGTTTGTGCAGTTGATGGCAGCCATGGCAATAGAGAATACTTTCATATCTCATGTTCCAGATGTGTTTGTTAATCCCCGAGAGGGAACTCTGCACCCTTCGAAAGACGGGTTTGTAATGTTGGTTCTTACTGCTTTATTCTGCCCTGCAACACAGCTGATAAGAACCAAGCTCTGTGTTCTCCTTTTCATGGAAGAAAGAATACGGTAATGTTTGAGTTCAGTGAAATGTAAGCAGATACTTTCTTCCTTTCTCTTCACTGGGCCCACCTTGCATTAAATGTTCCTCAAGTTTCCACATCAGAATGCGAGCGGAGGCATACATCATTCCTAGTATGAGTCAGTTTTTGAAGAAAGAAAGGGAAGAAAAGGCATATAGCCTCTGAATTTCAGATTACTTTTTCTGCGGAAGGACTGCTTTTAGTATTTTTTGGCTGCAGTTGTACTCTAACAGAGGACAGTTCATCTTGCCTTACAGTTCTGCTTTGACGGGGGGGGGTTTCACTCGTGTTGGACTGACTGGTATTTGATGATAGGGTGGGATATTTTAGCAAAAAAAAAAAAAGAACTTTAGGATTGTTCGTTGAAGACATTGACTGCATAATTTGGGGTGGGATGGGTATTGGGATGCATTTTACTGGCTGAAATGAATTTATTGATTGACTTCAAGTACCCGTCTTACCTTACCCTACTGCCCTGATTATAAAAGCGTAGCTGCTTGACAGTGCACAAAGCGCAGTGCTCTGTTCCAAAAACTTCACTGCTGTCTATTCAAATAACCTAAAAGTAATTTGGGTTAATTCACTTTTTTTTTATTAAGCTCAACATCTATCCATATATCCTCCCCCAGATGCTCTCGGCTTCCTGTGCCATTAAAGTGCTGCTAATTGTTTCCAGTGGTCCTGGAATCAGTTGAGCCCTGATGGAAGCTGGCATGGTCACACTGCAGGGCAGGAGGGGTGTGAGGTGCCAGAGTGCAGGAAGAGCTTGTCACTGACTGAGGAGAGTTAGAAAAGGTCAGGCTCTGTCATCTTAAACATAAAAATCCAGGGAGGGATTCGCTGGAAAGCTGGAGCTTGCCCCCTGGCCCCTAATGGCAGACGTTGGCCCGGACAGCAGCAAGTCTGCCCGAGCGTCGGTGGGGCTGGGTCAGACCTTAACAGAGAGGAGAACGATCTGGTTATAGAGGAGCAAAGGGAAGGTCTGGTGCTGGCAGCCCTTCCCTGGGCTGCAGAGAAACCCAGAGGGTCATTAGGAGATGGAAACCAGAGAGGAGAGAGCGAGCAGTGAGGGGTCATCAGGACACGGACTGGTTTGCTGGGTCAGCACGACTGACGCAGCCTCCTGGTTTGTAGCAGCAGCGTGCGCTTTGGGAAGGGGGTGAGACAGGGCAGAAGACAGGAATCTTTTTGAAGGATGCTCTGGAGGTATTCAGATTTTCCCTGATTTTCCTGTGAGCAAGTGCAATACCACACATGAGTATTCATGGTGTCCATCACAAGAACTGGGCTGACATAAATGTTATCTGTTCATCCGCTGTGTTCTTGGTGAAAAATGCTTTGGGTTTCTCAATTAAATCTGTTCACTTAACACAAATGCTGATAACGAAGGCTCTTCCACATGAGACTAAAGGCCTGAAAGTTTTTTTTCTACCCTCAAGTTGTGGGTTTTTTTTCCCTGCCTTGAGCCAGCTTTAGCATGTCAGTGTTTTTCCTCAGGCCCCGGATGGAGGTGTTTGCGTCACTGAGGGAATGTTCAGGTTTGTTACATTCACATTTTTACACTTCCTAGGAAGAAGAGCTCTTTCCATTCAACCTGGATGAATTCGTTACTGTGGATGAGGTCATAGAGGAAATCGAGTCTCCCATTAAAACACGACAAAACCCCCCCAGGGGAAAGAGAAAAGACGGTCCTAAAACGAACTTCTCTTCTGAGCCTAGTTCCAAGAGAAGGAAAGGGAAGAGCTCGGCAGCGCGCGTCGCTGAAAGTGAACTCTCTTTTGTCACTTTGGATGAGATCGGGGAGGAGGAGGATGTGACTGCACAGCTCATGGGAGTTGCTAATTTAGAAGCCCTCAGTGACCCGCAGGGCCTGGTTGTGGTGGACGAAGTGATGGAAGAGGAAGAACTTCTGTCAGAAGCAGTAAAGGACCCGCAGGCGCTCGTTACGTTGGATGAGATCGCGGAGCAGGAGGAGCCCCGTTCTCAGAAAGGTCTCCCCGGGGCCGGTTTTGAGGAGCAGGATTTGAAAGCTGAACCCTTGGTGACGGTGGATGAAATCGGTGAAGTTGAGGAGCTGCCTCTGAATGAGCCCGCGGACCTGAGCGCTGAGGATGTGCTGAAACACAAGGAGGGGGATAAGGTGGCTGCGGAGGACGCCGGGGATGGTGCCTCCTCCCAGGTGCCCGATGATCCCAGCGCTCTTGTGACGGTCGATGAAATCCAAGAGGACAATGAAGATAACCCTCTCGTGACCTTGGATGAAGTGAACGAAGATGAAGATGATTTTCTGGCTGATTTCAATCGTCTGAAAGAGGAACTAAACTTTGTTACAGTAGATGAAGTTGGAGAGGAGGATGAGGAAGAAGAAAATACTTCCCCAGGGAAAAATCTGAACAAGGATGAAGACGATGAAGATATTGTTGCTGTTGCAGGACCAGAAGAGGAAGAAATTGCTGCCATTGCAGGACCAGAAGAGGAGGATATTGTTGCTGTTGCAGGACCAGAAGAAATGGAAATTCTAGGAGATATGAGTCCAGAAGAAGAAATGATTGCAGTCTCAAAGTCAAAAGGTAAGAAACCTCTCACAGTTTCTAGAGGAGAAATAGAAAAGAAGATGCTTGTAATCAGTGCCACACAGCAAATAGAGGGAACTGAGAAACCCAAATCTTTGCCAAAGTTAACGAAACAGAAGCTGAGAAAGAAAAAGAGACTGAGAGTGAGCAGTGGCCTGAAGGTACGATATTTTATGGACGAGTTTTACAACGCAGCTTTCTTTTGAGGTAAAATTAAGCAGCGTGTTGATTTAAAGTATTTATTTGGTCTTTATAATGGATAAAATTGGGGAAAATAGTTTCTTTTCTTGCCTTTAATGTGAGGCCTGGTAAGCTACCTAACACCATACAGATAACTGATAGTCTGTAATTACAGAGCCAAACTTCATTAAACCGAGTGAGTTAAATGTTTGAGTTTAAACTGTTCGGTGTGAGGAGGAGGAGGCTGAGGGGAGCCCTCATCCCTCTCTGCAGCTCCTGACAGGACATTGCAGAGAGGCCGGGGCTGGGCTCTGCTCCCAGGGGATCAGGGACAGGACAAGAGGGAACGGCTGGAAACTGCCCCAGGGGAGGGTCAGGCTGGGCAGGAGGAGAAAATGTTTCCCAGCAAGAGTGGTCCGAGAGTGGAACAGGCTGCCCAGGGAGGGGGGAGTCCCCATCCCTGGGGGGGTTTCAGGGCCGTTGGGATGAGCTGTGGGGGATGTGGGGTCAGGGAGAACTTTGCAGAGTCGGGCTGAGGGTTGGACTCGGTGATCCCGATGGGCTTTTCCAACCGGAATGGTGCTGGGGTTCTGTGAAACGGAGCAGGCACACAGGTACAAAGATGGCTGGACCCAGAGGAAAAAACGTAGCAGAACATCTGTAGCGATGTTCTAATAGTCATAGCAGGGAGCCAGGCGGGCAGGGCTCTATATAACCCCCGCCCAGGAAGGGTTTGGGGCAGAGCAGGGCCAAGGCTGGAGGTGGTGTAGGCAGGACCGAGCTGTGGGTCTCTGTGCCAGGGCCCGGCAGAGCTTGCTGTGTCTCACGTGGTGCGAGGCTGCAGGGCCGGAGGAGCTGCAGAAATCTTGCTTAAACCAGAGTATTTTAAACTTCAGTTTCCGTAAACATCAGGAAAGGGATTAGTTGACTGTATACACCCCCTAAAAATATTTATATATTGTTTTAATCTTGCTGTTACAGACCAGGGGTTCTCAACCTTTCCTTCACCACAGACCCCCTTTAAATACCTTTTGTGGCCGTGGACCACCAAGAGTTAATTCAAGATTTAAAGCACTAGACTGCATCAAATACTTATTTCGGTTTTCTCATGAAGAGTCTTCAGATTGAAGAGAAGAGGAAATAAGTTAAACTGCTAATGCACACACACACAATACCTTTATTTCAGTGATTCCATATGAATTTAAAATAATGGCATCAACACTTACCTTGCTCAAATGGTCCATTTTATGGTATTTTAACGCGCTAATTCCGAATTCGATGCCAATTTTTCCATTAAAATTTTTACAATCCTTCTCACCTCTCATACTTGAGTATTGGAGGAGCATTGAGGAGGTTGTGGGAAAAGGAGGCGCAGTGCTTGCCACGGGCCAGACCAAATGTTTCCAGGCTTGGACATTCCCCAGCCCTGCTTTAAGCTTTCACAGACCCCTGTGACGACATGGCAGCCCCCCTGGTCTGCGGAGCACAGGGTGAGACCCACAGCTCTAGAAGAGTGTGTTACAGAGCGTGAGCTTCCCTGTGGAAGACATTTACTGAAAATACGAAGTTAGAAAACTATGCTCTGTTAGAAGTAAATAGACACCTTAAAATATCCAAGCCCGGGAGTTGATTTCTGATCTAACTGGTAGTGACAAATGATAATAAATGTATTTGATGCACAGTAAGTTTCTCTCTGCATTGTAAAAATCTCAGGCAAAAGAGCTGGACTGCGGAAAAAATGAGTTCCTCCTAAATTTGAGAAGTGGAACGGAAAAACTGGGAAGGAGAGGTTAAAGTGGGTAAAATCCTTTTACTCAAGTCATAAAATCTGAATCCCACAACAGAATAGGAAGCGGTTTATGGATTGCCCTGGGCCAGCAACTGCGGGGGCGACAGTCCGAGCGGTGCAGAGCCACGTGGCAAACGGGAACTTGGTGTGTTGCGGGGAATCCCAGACTGGTTTGGGTGGGAAGGACCTTAGAGATCATCCAGTCCAACCCCCTGCCCCGGGCAGGGCCACCTTCCCCCAGCCCAGGTTGCCCAAAGCCCCATCCAACCTGGCCTTGAACCCTTCCAGGGAGGGGGCAGCCACAGCTTCTCTGGGCAGCCTGTGCCAGGGCCTCACCCCCCTCACAGGGAACAATTTCTGCCTTAGATCTGATCTAAATCTTCTCTCTGTCAGTTTAACCCCGTTCCCCCTCGTCCTATCCCTCCCCCTGATGACGAGTCCCCCCCTTTCCCTCCCCCCTTTCAGCCCTGGGGGGCCGCTCTAAGGTCTCTCCGGAGCCTTCTCTTCTCCAGCTGAACCCCCCAACTCTCAGCCTGTCCTCACAGGGGGGCTCCAGCCCCCCCAGCATCTCCGTGGCCTCCTCTGTCCCCGCTCCAGCAGGTCCGTGTCCTTCTGCTGTTGGTGCCCCAGAGCTGGACCCAGCCCTGCAGGGGGGTCTCCCAGAGCGGAGCAGAGGGGAGAATCCCCCCCTGGCCCTGTGCCCACCCTGCTCGGGGTGCAGCCCAGCACACGGGGCCTTGCTGGGTGTGATGTGGTGAGACAGAGCCGTGGGGCGCAGGAGGGCAGCGCTGTCTCTCGTGTTCTCCAACAACTTCCTGGGTTTTGTTGTTAAGGCAAAGGATTTACTGCATTAACCTTTTGTAGGACAAGTTGGTGTCTGGTTTATCTGAATGTAGAATTAGAAGGAAAGCAGATATTTTTGATGTCTGTCACTTGCCTCTTGGGCTGCTTTGATAGTCTAAAACCCAAGGACCTTGTTTATCTTGGAACAGAGGAGGCTCAGCCCAACTCCTTGTCTCCAGACAAATCTTAAAACGTTGATTTTGATCTTTCTTTTGTTAATCCAATGACGTTGGTTTTGGCTGGTTCCGCAGTGCTGCCGTTGGACCTCGATTCGGGTTAATTGAGGAAAGCTCGGTAGCTTCTAGCATAAAGAGTTGAGATTTCTGTGATCATCAACACGAAGTCAGGTTGAAGCTGCTGCGAAGGGCTGTAGAGGGAGGCAGCTGGGAGCAGCGGTGGCACGTCTAAGAGCGCTGTGGGGTCAGGAGGGCTTTGGGAGTCCTTCACTGGGGTGGGTTTTGGAAGATTTTCCTGTAGGGTTGATGTCAGGAGTCCCTGAAAATTGCTCTGTGGAAAGACCCAGCCGAGTGGCATAAACCACAAGGCCCGGTGGGGGGGCGGTTCCGAGCAGTAATCAGCCATTACAGCTAGATGCAGAACACCTTTTTTTAACTTACACCTTTAGTTAATTTATTCTGTGTTTAAGAATATATAGCCATTACCTTTGTTTAACACACATTTCTGGCCTCCAGTAGATCAGCTGGGATCAGCAGATAAAGAACCGGAGCCTAAGCAGAAGAAAACGGCTTCGTCAGATGTTTCCAAGCCACAGAGCACTCCAAAAGGTAAAACCAAAAAAAAAAACCCACCCCACATGCTCCACTTCTCTTGCTGGAAGGCAGGTTTCTTGCCCAGTTGAAAATGCCTCCTTTGCCTCGGTACCACATCGAACTTCAAAGCCATGGCCCATACAAAATCTGTTTTTTTTGTCTTGGCTCCCACAAGTGCAGGTTCAACTACAGTTTATGCTGTTGCCTCAACAGCAGCAAAATGGAAAGTTCTTTTTTTCCTAAAATGTACAAATATAGGCTTATTTATTTAGAATTAGCACAATGCAGTGTAATATTTACTGACTGTTGTAATCCTGATACAGGGTTTATTACCAGCTTTCAATGTGTAGAAAGGAGGGAGCTGTTTACACAGTTTTAAAAATGTCTGTGTGTGTATATATGTGTATATATATTTTTTTTTTCTCCAAGATCCTCATCTAAAATACTTTTTCTCCAAAACGACTGCTAACACCTGAACTCTGAAAGAAGTTGCTAGGATAATATGGATTCCTTCCTTGCCTGATGGCTTTGTGTAATATTCTCTGGGACAGAAAATGCTGCGTAACACGCTGCAGAACAGAGGTTGGCGAATGAGTCGTATAGAAAAGACTTGCTAAGGCCAAAAGATGCTGAGGTAGTCCCAGGGAGCGTCAGCTCCAGAAGGGCAGGTGCCCTGCACTGCAGAACAGTACGTGTCCTCCTCTGTTTATTGAGACAGGGCAGCTGGCCAACTCGCATTAGAAGCCTAATTTTTTAAATACTGAAAAAATGTAACTAAATTCCTTCCAGTAATAACAAACTGTACAGATTTGGCTAAAGGAATCTGATCTTTAAAAAAAAAAAAAAAAGGCTCCCTTTTGAAGCTGCGCTTTGTTTCTGGGATGTTTTAAAGCTCTGCTTTGTTCCTGGGATGTTTTAAAGCTGTGCTTTGTCCCTGTTGTGTGCTGCCACTCCAGATTTGGATTACCTAGTGCCAAAGGCTGGCTTTTTCTGTCAGATCTGCTCGCTGTTCTACGCAGATGAAACCTCTGTCAAAAATCACTGCAAGACGCTGCTTCATCAGCAAAACATGGAGGTAACGCTGAAGCTTCCCCACACGCACTGGCGGGGAGGGAAAAAATGTTTGTTTTAGTGAGTGCTGAGAATTTCCTAGTGGCATAGCGAGCTCATGTTAATACTTGAAGGGTTTTTTTTTAATTTTAAACGGGAATGTGGATGTTGTTAAATAATTCAAGCTCGTCACCTGCATAAAGCCTTCCTTACCCAGGAGGGTGAGGGGATTGCTGTTGTCTTCCCTTCTTTTTTGAGAAATGATTTAAAAAAAAACCAACAACCCCACGCAGCGTTGTGTTGGAAAGCACAGTTTTGTCAGATTCCCTGCCAAAAAGTGGCAGTTTCTTCCCCTGGGAGGTGCTGAGGTGAGGGATGGAAAAACTGGGAAGGTATTTTATCCACGTAGACTTTTGTAGGGCGGCTGCAACAAATATTCATAATTCAGTGAATATTCAATTAGTGGTTTCTATCACCTGACCGGTCACAGGCCCCCATCATCGTGTGAACTCCCAATAGTGACTATTTTGCCATATGCCCGGTAAAAATTCCACTAAAAATTCCAATTCCACTAAAAATTCCTCTCGGTGATGGTGTGAGTGTCGGTTTGTGAGCAAAACTCGTGAGAGTTTTTTTGGTGCGGATCCCTCGCTGTCAGTATCGGGAGCAGGATGACGGTTATGAAACCTGAGCTGTGTTTGGAGCCGGATCTTGTCACGGGTTGAGGAACAACAGCGAGGTTTTTTCACTGCCTGCCCTTATTCCTACAGAAATTCATGGCCCAGCAGAAGGAGGAGGATAACGGTGGAGAAGAGCGGAGTTCAAGGTGATCAGAGGGAAGAAGGATTCTTTCAGTGAATTAAACTTAGGGTCCAGTCAATTTTGCGTATTTTGTTATGTTTTAATTTGTAATTTTGTTTCAGAAACAAGCATTCATGTTGTATAAATTTGAGCTCAGTATAGACAGACCGAAAACAAACCATATGGTGGCTTTGATTTGTATATCAAATCATCGGACTTGGAAGAGACTTCTTTTACAAGTGTCGACAAGAAATAAATGTTCTTACTGTATAGTTACCACCGGGGCTCTGCGTGTGCTGTGATTTATTGTGTTCGGTACCTCGGGGTCACGGCAGAGACCGGCAGGGAATGCATTCGCCCCCGAGATCTCTCTGGGTGAAATTTCCCCCCCTGCGGACGCTGCCCCAAAGCCACGACCCTCGGGGTGGAGAGTTTGGTGGTCCTGTGGATGGTTACGCTCCCTGCGGCCGCCTTGTTCCTGGGGGCTCTGCAGCCGCACGAGAACCTCGTGGGAATCTCGGGGAGATAAAGCCAATGGGGGGAGCAAAGCCCGTTCCGCCCAGCCAGGGAGGTCACTGTCCCTTGCTGTTTCTCCTTGGGGACTGAGTTTGCTGGTTTATTTTGGGTTGTTTTTCCCTAGTTTGTTCCAGTCTGTAGGTCAGAGCCTGTGGAGCACTTGGCACTGTGGCTTGGAATCTGCTCTTGAACGTTGCCCG